GCGCCTCTACTTCCAGCCGCAGCCCGAGGGCAACGGCAGCCGCGGGCCGGCGGGCGAGAGGGAGCCGCGCTTGGTCTTCATCGAGGAGGCGGCGGCGGCGGGAGGGGGGAAAGCGGCGCGGGGCCCGGCAGAGCGGTGCCGGGAGCGCAGCGCCTGGGCCTCGGACGTGGAGGTGGTGGGGCCGCTGCGCTCGGGCGGCGCGGCGGGCTCGGCGCTGGCCGAGGTGCGGGTGCGAGAGCCGCGCAAGGGCGAAGCGGCGGCGGCGCCGGGCGGGCGGCTCTTCTCGCTGTGCGCGTGGGACGGGCGGGCGTGGGCGCATCACGGCGCGGCGGGCGGCTTCCTGCTGCGGGTGCGGCCGGCCTCCCCAGGGCTGGGCGCCTGGCTGCTGCCGCTGCCCGAGGCGGGCTGGCTGCGGGCGCTGGGCGCGCTGCTGCTGCTGGGGCTGTCGGCGCTGTTCAGCGGGCTGCGCCTCTCGCTGCTCTCGCTGGACCCGCTGGAGCTCCGCGTCCTGCGCAACAGCGGCTCGGCCGCCGAGCGGGAGCAGGCGCGGCGGGTGCAGGCGGTGCGCGGCGGCGGAGGCACCTACCTGCTGTGCACGCTGCTGCTGGGCCAGGCGGGGGCCAACGCGGCGCTGGCCGGCTGGCTGTGCGCGTCGCTGCCCGGCGGAGGGCCGGCGGCTGGCGGAGGGCCGCGTGGAGCGCCGTGGCTGCCGGTGCTGCTTTGCGCGGCCGCCGTCTTCCTGGGCGGCGAGGTGCTGCCCTACTCGGTGTGCTCGCGGCACGGGCTGGCCATCGCGTCGCGCACGCTGTGCCTCACCCGGCTGCTGATGCTGGCCGCTTTCCCGCTGTGCTACCCGCTCAGCCGGCTGCTGGACTGGGCGCTCCGGCAGGAGCTCAGCGTCTTCTCCACGCGGGAGCGGCTGCTGGAGACGCTGCGCGCCGCCGGGCCCCACGGCGACCTGGTGCGGGAGGAGTTGGCCATGGTGCAGGGAGCGCTGGAGCTGCGCACCAAAGTAGTGGAGGACGTGCTGACGCCGCTGGCCGACTGCTTCATGCTGCGTGCCGACGCTGTGCTGGATTTCGCCACCGTCTCCGAGATCCTTCGCTCCGGCTACACACGCATCCCTGTCTATGAGGGCGACCGGCGTGACAACATCGTCGACCTGCTCTTTGTCAAAGACCTGGCCTTTGTTGACCCCGATGACTGCACCCCGCTGCAGACCGTTACCCGCTTCTACCGCCGCCCGCTCCACTGCGTCTTCAATGACATGCGCCTCGACACGCTGCTTGAGGAGTTCAAGAAGGGTGAGGCTGCAGGGCTGCCATCCCTGGGCTCCCCCTGTATCCCCTCCGGTCCCCGCTCAGCCCACCCAGTGTCACCCTCCAACAGGACCCGGCAGGTACCACGGGTACTGGGGGGAGTCAGGCCCTGCATGTGCTTGGAGTCCACTAGTAAGTCAGCCCTGGGGGCTGCGTGGCCATGCCTATGGTTCTACCGAGGTCATGAGTGCCTTTGGCACTGGTGGCTGCTGTGCTCTGGATGAGGCATCCCGCAGGGTCTCAAGGTGGTGCAGAGTGGCCTGCCCACCCCTCTGTTCATCACTCTGTTCTGCACAGGTGAACGTAGGGCAGATGACATCTCGTTACTCAGTTCTCGCGTTTTCAGCTTAGCAGGGAGAAGCAGCAGATAGAGAGTGGTTCTGAGCATGTGGTTTAAAGAAAAACAGCCTAAACCCCTAGAAAGAACCCCTAGAAAGCTCTGCTTTCTATACAGCTGTGGCAGTATTCATAAAGAGCTGCCAGCAGCCCCAGTGAAGCTGTGCTGTATTTCATTAACTCTTCCTTGTGAATACACACAGCATGTGGCTTTTCCCCCGCTGGGAACCGTGAGCGTTTTGCTGTGTTGCTCAGTACGTCACACCGCGATGAGCGAACCTTTAAGAAATGGCTGCAGCAGTGCCAGCCTGCGTTATGTAACACAGCTCCCAGCTGCCTGCGGCTGCTCTGCCACAAGCAGAGCTGATCATGTGAGAAGGGCCAATCTGCTCCACGCCATGCAGAGAAAGCCTCTGAGTCATCCCCTGCTGGTTCTCAGAGCTGGGGGGCAGCGGAAGACCGGTTTTCTGCATACCAGGAGGGCATATGGGGACATGCAGGTCATCTCTGCATCCCCACCACCTCCAGGGGACACAGGATGAGGAGCTCTGCACAGCACCAAGCACCGTATACCTTGCAATTCTTTCTACACTTTGGTTTCCTGCATATATGTTACAAAGTTCACTTGAGATCTCCCCACCTCTGCCTTGTCCAGAGTCAGCTGTTCCCTGGGATGTCAGATGACTTCTGCACAGTCTTCCCCATCAACCTTCCTGCACTTTATCTGATTTACTTTGTTGTATTCAGCTACTTCTCTTTCCAGATTTGTTCGACAGCCTGGTACCCTATGGATCAATAGACCCATAGGAATGGACCTGTGCTTGCTTAGCTTCCTGCCCTTTCCTTGCCCCTCCACCTTGAAGGTGTTTTCTGTGTGTCACTCCCTCAAGTGACAAGCGCACTCACACACCTTGCCACCAGCTCTCCCCATACTTGTCCCCCATCTCTAGTGAAGGTTCTTTACCTTCTGCTGCTTTGCTCCATTAAACTCCTGGCATTTTGCTTCAGGCTCTTCCTCCCCCACATCTGTTTGCCATCACGGTCTTCTGGGGCATTTTGCTGTAGCTCCTTTGTAGAGCTGTCCCTCAATATTCTGCCTGCTCCTCCATCATTTCTCCTTGTGTTTTCTAACCACATGGCTGAGAACTCCTGCTTTTGGTCTTACAACCTAACCCAGCTCAATGTGTAGTAGTTCCAGCTCTTCCCTCCACCATGTTCTTATCCCCTAGTGTTGCTGGTCTCTTCTAATGCATCTTTCCCCTATTTCTAGCCCTTCATTCACTCCCAGTACCTCGTGTCTGTAGGCGGTCACTCCCAGACTTGAGCCCCACCTAACTGTTCTTCTCTCAGTTTCGAAGGCTCCAGTTCCTGCACTGCCACATATGTTGGCTCCCAGCTGCCTCCAACCCAGTTCACTCGACTACTTAATTTCTAAAATAAAGATTTCCCATTTGTTATTAAGAAACTTCATCACTGTCTCATTTTCTGTGTTCATTTGAATTACAGCAAAGTATCTTGTTGGATCCAGTCAATGTTGCTTTCTACTTCCAGGTTTTCTGTGACACCTCTGCTAATTAGTAAGTGGGCTGGTTGGCTCACTGAGCCGCTAATGAGGGCATTAAGCACTTCACACATTAAGCAGGACAGCAACTGCTCCCGCTGATAGGATCTAGCCTCTTTCGAGGAAATCAAAGTCCCAACTAAGGAGAAGCACTTCCATCCCCAACAAACTTCTACAGCAACCTCTCCTTCCCAACTTTCTTTTCCTTCTCCCATGATTAACAGTTACTCTATCCCTGGTTTCTTTTGGCTATTGCCATGCTTATACAAAATACCCACCAGGTTTTCAATCTTCCCTTCCTGGATAGCAATATTTACTTCCAGATCTGTGTTTCAGCAGTGATTAATGTTCTGCCACATTCTCTACATCTATAATGTAGATGTCAGTTTTCGCATAATGCAAAAGCTGCGCTGTTTCCCTGCCTGAACTCCTTGCCATAATACACAAACATTTGTTCCTACTGAAAATGTCAGTGTATGATTAAACGCAGTGCTTTGCGACTCTCTCTCACACCTCGCTCAGCTCCGTCCTTTTTCCCTCCCCTCTGGCTTGCTGTTCTCACACTGCATGATCCCTGTTTACCCAATGCATTCCTTCTCCCTCACTGTGCAGTCCTACCTGTGCAGACCATCAGCTGCAGGTTGCTGCACTGAGTTTAGCAAAGCAAAACAACGCAGAGGGGCAGATGAGGTCCCACTAAAAGAAAAACTGCCCTTAGGAGGACAGAGCCAGGAAGAGAGCTGTGTGCATACAGGCAGCATGCAATGCTGTGGTCAGTACAACCTGCTCTCCCCATCCCCAGCAGGTAGCCACAGCAATGCCTGCAGCCCTGCGGCCACGGGGAGCCCTTCCTCCAGCCGCAACGCCCTGCTCTGTAGGTGGCACTGGGGAAGTCGCAGTCTCTCTCTATTAAAAGTCATTTATGGATTTTGCCAGCACATTTCCTAGGGGGAGCTCTGCATGCAGAAGTGGCACCTTTCAGAAGGTCACCTTCCTCTGGCACAGGAGCAGTGGAAATTTGCTCATGCCATCATCATCTCTCCAAAGGCTGGAGGCTGAGGTGCAGCTCCAATTATTCTCTGATGGTTTGGTGCCTTTTAAAAGCTGCTAAAAGTAAATCCCCCAGCAGTGAGCTTCCTGCTGAGCAGGGAACAGTTCTGCCCCAGGCTCTGTCTTTGCTTTTATAAATACTCCACAGCCTCTATTAGATGTCTGCAATCGAAAAAATCTGAGAAAGGTTCTTATGTGTGCCAGGAGCTGGGATCAGTGCTATTTCAGCTGCTCTTCTTGCAGCCCTTCTCCTGAACCCACAGTTATTGGGCATCCTGGTGAGGCAGTGCTCATATTCCAGCTGTGTGAGCCCAGAGCCTACAGGAACCCTGAGCTGCCAGGCTGCAAGTGGGTGAGGTGCTGCTACACAAAACCTGGTGGTGGTGAATCATGCTGCAGCTCCTCCTGCAACTCTCATTTCCCCCCAGAACGCTGCTCTGAGCCTCAGTGTGTGAGTGCTGCGCTGCTCCCTGCCCCAGCACTGAGCTGGGACCTTCAGGGTTGGGGGGAGTTACTTCCCTCCTGGCCTCATGGGTAGGAATAAAGTGGCCTACAACAAGGACATCTCTAAAAAACATTCTGCATTTCCCCTTTGGAAATATTTAGGTTTTGGGTTTACCATTTGTGGGCAGGGAGCAGCATACCCAGCAGGCCAACACACAGCTGATGGAAGATGAGATTGTGTCTGTTCTGATCTCCTTCTTGCCCTTCTCCATCTGTTTTGCCAACCATAATACACCAGCTGCTCCAAAAAGCTCATGCCCCCATCTTTCCCCAAGTTCTCCCTAGGATTAGGAAAAGCACCAGAACAGAGTACAAGAGACTTTTGTTCTCCAGTAGAAACAGAAGAATGTTGGTGGAGTTCCCATCCCCAAGGAAGGCCTGGGCTAGGTAAGGTTGTGTGGTTCTCCCCTTTTCATAGCCCTGACTTCTCACAGATCTGGGTGCCCACACATCACCCTGATGCACAAAAGTAAATTACCTGCTTAGTGCTCATCTCATGGAACAAGAGACAACGCTAAGGCATCTTCAGCATTCCTCTGGCAGAGCACCTACATAAAAAAACACTAAGGAAGGATCCTGGTCTATACTTGCAGCCAACAGCACTTTCTTTCCTGAAAGCAAAGGCATTTCCATGTGCTCAGACTATGTTCTCCCATCAGGAAGGACACTTTGGAGTGGATCCATTACCGCCAGAAATCAAGGCTCCTAAAATTGGGCACAAAGCTTCAGCTTTCTGTTCAGGTATCAGCTCCTAGAAGCTTTAGCTGTGTAATTCAGCACTGTTAAGGCATGAACTTCTCAGCAAAGCTGTTGACTGAAAAGAGCAGCTTTTGCATAGCTCATAAAGAGTTCACTACGGTTACATTCACACTGAGCAGGCACTCAGTCACCTATGGGCTTCCTGTACAGAGCAGCCCTTTGCACACATGAAGTTAGTTGCTCATTTGCTCTAGCATTTGCCAAACTGGCTTTGATTCTCAAGTGTTTCACTGCTGCATCACTGATACCTCCATGAAGACACATATGACAGCAGTGGTAGGGCTGTTAGCCCTTTTAATTCATTCCACTGGAACCATCAAGCAGTGGCTACAATAGTGCAGCTTTTGGGATCAGTTTCACAGCTCTTAAAGCTGCTTTAGATCAAGCTTGTTGTTTTGTTTGAGTGATAGATCTCTCTTGACTGCACTCCAACTGAAGCAAATCTCCAGGATGATGCTAGAGAAGAGCTGCCACCCCCTGCACTGTCCCTATATCACCCTGCCTCAGACACAGCTTCCACTTTGCCCAGCTCCAGCCCTTGTACCTGCTCCCATACTCACCAACCATTCCCTGGGTGAACACAGCAGCTCCTACATATAACTGCACACCCAAGCCACAGGCAAGGCACCTCACTGCCAAATTTTAAGGTCTGCTCCAAGAGCAGCACTTTGAAAAAGAGATCATCTCCCTCAGCTGGGAAACCAGACCCAAAGGAAAAGCTGGGTACAGTTGTGGGGAAGTGGGGCTGAGCCCAGCCCACTGCTGGGCACCTGCTGTGCTGCTCACCTGCGTGTCAGCCTGCAGAGCTGGGGGTTTATAGCATAGCTCTGAGTGTTTATTTTCTGTGAAACTCCTGAGCAGGCTGACAGTGCTCCTGGCTCTGCCCCAGTGTGGTCAGACCCTCCCAGCCTAATGGTGCTGGGTTCTCTCTAAGCAATCAGATTAGCTGCTGTGTGAGCATAGGGCTGGAGTCCTGTTTCTCTGTAAATTACAGCATCAGTGGAGGTGCTTGGCCAAAAGAAGAATGGCCTCCATTACTCTCTGACTGCCTTTAAGTAGCACCTAAGCTTTTTGTAAGGGCCTGGTGGTTTTGGGTTGCATGTAAATGTCATTAGCAATGAGCTCTGGGCCAAAAGAAATAACTTCTCCCCTCTCTGCACTCACCCGAGGGCTCGTAGGAGAGCAGATGGCCCCAGCGCTTGGGAGTGGGGTTTGGCAAAGGAGCTGCTTTCAAAAGTTGGACTTTACTGAGATGAAACGTAGCTGTTGCTGCTGTGCTGCAGCCAACTCGGCTTCTTTTTGCTTTTCAAGTCCTGAGACATTTTGCTTTACTATCCATGGAACACACAGTGTGCACAAACTGCTGTGCACAACGGGGGAAATTGCCTGGCCCAAGGAACGCACTGAAAGTTCGGCACCTCCAGGCTATTGATTTGGGTTTTTAAAGTGCATCTCCAGCTTTCTGGGAAGAAAAACATTGCTACTTGCTGTGATGTGATGTTCTCGTTTCTAATTCTGTAGGCGTGGGAGGTGGTGAGCTGCTCTCTGAAATCTTGCAATGAAAGCTTGGTGTGAGGAGGAGGGAATTTATCCTGTGGAAAATGCCCAAACTTTAATGTGAGCAATGTATAAAGCTGATCTCTGTCTGAGAAACATCATTTGCTTGTCCCAGATCCAGGGCAGGGTTATTGGAAGGTCGCCTGTTCCCCATGAGGACAGCTCCAGACTGCCCATCCCTGTCCCACCGTGGGTAACCACTGCTGCTTCAGGAGATCAGCTCCAGGTTTTGGGGGAGAAAAGGGTGTTTTTAGCTTCCCTCAGGCTCCGCAGTGCCCGTAGTAGGATTAGAATTTGCATGCTGCAGGCACAGGGTGCTGCAAGGGGAGACCCCAGAGAGATGGAGAACAAGCAGGAAGGAAGCTGTTGGATGTGGTGCTGATGAAAGATGTTTTTAGTTTTCAGCAAAACAAGAGGTTCAGAACCCATTCAGGAGCTGCAGGAAGTCAGCAGAGCAGTGCTGTTGGTGGGTCTGAGCTGGAAACCCAAAGGTTGTAAAGGGTTTGGAGGCTGGGTTCTAGGTGAGCTGCTGAGGAGCAGAGACCAGAACAGACAGTAAGGGAATAGAGAAGCTGAGCAAGTCAAAACAGCTTACAGAGAGCTGGACATGTGAACACAGATAGTGATGCTCAAAGGGTGCCAAAAGCAAGAAGGCTGAGAGTGTGTCAGCACAGCCACCAGCTCAGGGAGGATGACGTGATTGGGAACCATAGGCACTGCTGTGCAGGGGTCGCTGTCACTTCAGCTGAAGGAAAGCTCTGGTCCCAGCCTATGTAAGGTAATGTGGTGTCATTGTGGCAGGGTTTGGGGAAGATGTTCTCGTGTAAGCTGATGGCTTGCAAAGTGTTCAGGCTCCATGTCCAGATGGTTCGCCCAGGAGTTCTGCAGGAGATGAGCTGAAAGCTGCAAACAAACGTATGCATTTCTGCATTAAAATCAGCTGCCATTGCGAAAGGCTGGAGGCTTTGTCTGTTTTAGGAGAGACTTTAGTATCGTCCAGTGATGGATAGTGGGGGAGCTAATCCTGGCAGTTTGGTACGAAAGATAATTAACAACAGAATGAGCAAACACTGGGGGATGGGAGACACCAGTAGAGCCCAAAGACACACTCATATTTCTGTGCTGGAGGATGTCTCCTTCCTCCATTGGAGCTTTTTCATGCCAGTGAGGTCATGGATAAGCAGGGCACAGCTGGTGGAGGGAGCAGCTGGTTCAGGCATTGGGCAGCTTTGAGGTGTGGTTGTGGTCTTGTCCCTGTCCCACCAGACCCATCTCACTGACTCACAGCGCCGGGATGCCTCTGGCCAGGTGGAGATCTCACTGTCTGCTCTCTCCTTGCAGGGAAGTCTCACCTGGCCATCGTGCAGCGGGTGAACAACGAAGGGGAAGGAGACCCGTTCTACGAGGTGATGGGCATTGTCACCCTTGAGGATGTCATTGAGGAGATCATCAAATCTGAGATCCTGGATGAGACGGATCTGTACAGTTAGTGTCCTGGAGCAGCTACTGCGGTGGCAGGAGCCAGGGTGGGAGCCCACAGACAGGCAGAGGTGTGGGTAGGAAAGGGGCAAAGCAAACTGCCGTCCTTCCCCAGACAAGGATGATGGAGGGATGCTGGTCCAATGTTAAGGAACATTTTGTGCTGGAGGCAGATCGGCCCCAGCCTTGTTCCGAAGGCAGCAGCATGCTTTGCCTCCCAGGTGTTGCCCAGCATGGTTTGTCCACCCCTCTGCTTCCCTGCCGCGATGTGAGCCGGGTGTGCCTCTGTGGTTAACCTCCACCCTCTGCCCACAGCGGACAACCGGAAAAAGGAACGTGTGCCCCACCGGGGCCGCAAGCCCCAGGACTTCTCCATCTTCAGGCTGTCAGACAGCGAGATGAAGGTGAAGATCTCCCCGCAGCTCCTGCTGGCGACACATCGCTTCATGGCTACAGGTACCCTTAGCCTGGGGGAGAAATGGGATGCAATGGCCTTGAGTTTGGCTCAGCATGCACTGAGGTGTAAGTGCTGTGGGGAGGTGGGCTCCCAGCACCCCATTGTCCCCCCAGCCCCACTGAGCACCCCTGTATCGCCTCCCAGTAGAGGTGGAGCCCTTCAAGTCCCCATACCTCTCCGAGAAGATCCTGCTGCGGCTCCTCAAGCACCCCAATGTCATCCAGGAGCTGAAGTATGACCGCAAGAACAAGAAGGCAGCAGAGCATTACCTCTACCAGCGCAACCGCCCCGTCGACTACTTTGTGCTCATCCTGCAGGTGTGGGGCAGAGGGGTGCAGGGTGGCACGTGTTGACATGGGTTGACGCAGGGTGGCACAGGGTGGCCTTTCTGAGTGGGTTTCCCTCCTCCTTCCAGGGAAAAGTGGAGGTGGAGGTTGGCAAGGAAGGGCTGCGCTTTGAGAACGGGGCATTCACTTACTATGGAGTCCCTGCCATCATGGCTGTCGTCTCCTCGGGTAAGGGCTCTGTGGGCCCTCCAGCCCTGCCCTCACTTCTGCTCACTGGGGGACAAGGGTGAGATGCACACAGTACCCCTCCTGTGCAGCTCATGCATCCTTGTTGTCATTGCAGATAACGATGTGCGGAAAGTGGGCAGCGTGGCGGGATCGTCCTTCCTGTGTAGGTATTTAGAGGCACCTCTCGTGGCAATGGAGGGACAGTGGGTGTGCTCCCCAATGAGCAGCTCCAGCTCTGCTCCAGAGCTCAGTGGAGAAATGACGTGCTGATGCAAATGCCAACTCTTGGGTATTTAACAACTAATTAATTAACTCTGGTTATACAACTCCCTTATTGAACCCTCCCTTATTGGTGTTGGTGGCCAGGGCAGGTGCGAAGCCCGGAGCAGGGCAAAGCAGGAGGCCAGGCACGTTTCTCCACTGCTATCACTTGGACTTTTGCTCCCAGTGGGATGAAGCATCTCTGACAGTACTCAGCACTATGCTCAGATGTTTATTTGCATTAGGTTTTTGTCCAGGGATGACACAAAGAAGAGTCACTGGGGGAGGAGCAGGGAGTTTGGGGCCCAGCCTGGTGCATAATTACATCTTTATTTTTCCTCATATGTGCTCCTTCTTACATGTCTCCTCCCTGCCCTCCCACACCTCTCCCTGCAGTGCCTGTCTCAGTGTCCCGTACCTTCGCCTTCAGCAGAGGGGACTCCCTGGCTGGCTCTCCAGGTAATGGCACCCAGCTTTGGGCAGGGGCCTGGGCAGTCCTGCAGGTGCCTCACCTGCCTCGACCCATAAAGAAGGGGGTGGGGAGAAACAAGAGCCTTAAATGGATTGGGCTTTTTTTGCACTTCCCATAAATTTAATTTCCTGCATGTGGTGCTTATGTTTCCTGTCTGCTTGCTGCTGCTGACCGTGGTTAGCCACAGCTCTGCGTGCATGCTGACCTGCTGAGCTTGCTTTCTGGGAACTGAAATCAGGAGGGCATTTTAGCAGCAGAGCAAAGTCAGTGATATGTTGATGTCACCTATGTGAGGAGCAAGCTGCCTTTGTTCTCTAATAAATCACTGACCAGACAAAATCATACTGTATATTACAAGCCATCAGTTAGTGTGCTGCCCTGCTTGCTTTGTGGGACACCCTGCAGCAGGCACATTTACCCTGATAGCACTGCACCCTGCATGGGGTGGCACAGGGAAAGCAGGAAGACAGTGCCGGGGGGCAGGATGACAAGAGGACAGCAGGAGGTGAGGTGGCCACTGCTGCCCCACAGCTGGGTGAAGGTCTCCTGCCCCAAGTGCTTCTTCCAGGCATGGATGAGCCAATGGGGCACAGCTGCTGGATGCAACAAGGATACCTGACTAAGCATGATGTCTTCTCCCTTCTTCTCTCCCCTCTCTCTGCCTCCCACCTCTCCCCAGTGAACCGGTCCCCCTCGCGGTGCAGCGGGCTCAACCGCTCCGAGTCCCCAAACCGGGAGCACAGTGACTACGGGGGCAGCACCATGCAGCTCTACAGCAGCAGCAATAACATCTACACACCCGACTACTCCGTGCACATCCTTTGTGATGTCCAATTTGTCAAGGTATGGCTGGGCGGGCTGTGCCACCCCTGCATTCCTTGGAGCACCCTGCTGCCCTCAGAGCCATGTGAATATCCCACTGTATGCCCAGGTGACCCGGCAGCAGTACCAGAACGCGCTGGTGGCCAGCCGCATGGACAGCTCGCCCCAGTCCCCTGATGTGGAAGCCTTTGACAGGGACTCAACAAAGGCTTCAACAGCTCGGGGCACCCCACAAACACCCAAAGAGGACACCACCACCCTCCTGATTGAGAAGAACAGCCGGTCTGAGGGTCAGCGCAGCCCCAGTGACTCTGTGTGCCTGCGCATGGAGGCCATCCCCTTCATCCAGGAGGAGCTGGCAGAGCAACAGGAGGGTGGTGAGCAGCAGGGTGAGTTGGGCTGGGGGCAGAGCTCAGGGGCAGTGGGGGCTCAGGCTGCCCCGGGGCATTGCAGGCAGGCTGGGCTCTTGCAGACAGGGAGTGCTGCGGCCCTGGCCTGGAGGCAGAGTCCCCAGGAAGGGAGGTCGGGAGCGGCTCCTCTCCCAGCAGTTCCGAGGAGACTTTGGGCAAGAGGCTGCTGAGATCACTGAGTGAGTGACTGAGCAAGGTGCTCTGCACCCTTATGCCCAATGCATGCAGGGCATGCTCCAGCCCAAGCACCCCAGGCCCAGCAGCCACTTGGTGCTGCTGCTGCAGGTGAGCGCAGGCAGCGACAGTCACCAGAGGGTGAGCAGATGCCAGAAGAGAGTTCCAACCTCGCCCCGCTGATCACCTGAGCAGAAGCGTGGCCAGAGCACGGTGCTGGAGGCCCACGTGGATCCCAGGTAGGAGCCTGCCCTTTGCCCCCGCAAGCAAGCATGAGGTTGTTTTTCACATTGTAAAATCAAGTTTTGTGCTGTTCAAACAGCAAAGCCAAATGATAGAGGGTGCAGAAAGACTCACTCTATGCTTAGCAGCAATAGGCAAGGGCGGTCCTGTGCAGGCATACACGTAACAGGGGGCTGCAGCAGGGTCCAAGGCTGCAGCAACAGAACCCAGGCACCCATAGGGTGGTGATGGCAGAGAGAGAGAGAGAGAGAGAGGGAGAGAGAGAGAGAGAGAGAGTGAGGCCCCTACTCATACTTTTGCTCCAGCTACCTGCACTGGGCTGCGCGTGTCTTCCAGGTCTGCAGCATGGTGGTCTCCTGCCACAAGGCCCTTGTCCAGCAGCAGCAGGTCTGCACTCGCTCTGCCCGCCCGCTCGTGCCGCCCCTCCCTGCAGGACTGCAGAGCCCCATCCCCAGGCCAAAGGACACGCTGCGGGGACTGAAGCATCGAGTGGCATGGAGCAGCTTGCTGGAGCACGAGGGCCCCGGCCCAGCTGCTCCCTGGTAGTACCTGGTCTCAAGGAAGAGGTGGAGAAAGAAAAGGGGGAGAAGAGTTCCCTGCGGGCAGCACAGGGAGGGGCAGCCCAAGCCATAGCACCCTCAGCATCATTGCGCATCCCCATCCTGCGAGGCCTGGAGCCCCGCCCTGCTGGGCACTGCACACACGTGCTCTCCGCCATAAGGAGACAATGCTATTTGGGGGGTGCCACCCACAGCTCAGGGCCCCAGTACACGTCTGTGCCGTGCCCAGTGCCGTGCACAGCCGCAGCGCACACCAACATCGCCGCAGCCCGGCACGGGAGCACAGCTCACCCCCATGACCGGCTGCTCCACGCCGCATTGACCATCCTCTGCGCGAGGCAGGCTTGTGCCAAGCCTCCAGGTCAGCACCGACCGGTCCGTAGTTTTGTAGAGGCTGAACGCGACAGGGATGTCAACATTAAAAGTGATTTCTCCCTGAGTGATGCCCTGTTTGCGTTGATGGGTGCAGGGACAGCTCCTGCTGCCTGTGTGAGGATGGGCTCCTGGGCAGGGGTTAGACCAGCAACACAGACAAGGGCTGGGGAGGGAGAACAGGAGTTAATAATACACGTGCTGGAGTACAGCTTGAGATAGTGGAAGAAATCTCATGGTCCGGCAGTGCTGATAAAACCTCAGCTGGAATAACGGCATCCCTGCCTGGGTCCTGCCCCACTAAGGAAACAAAGCAATTGACAGGAAGCCAGGGGAAAGCAAGGGCTGGAAAACAACCTGCCCACCAGAGGCTGAGGGAAACGAGGTCGCAGAATCTGAACTGGTGGAGGATAAGAAGGGGAAAGAGGAAGCTGGCAAGTACATATAAAGCTCTTGGAAAAGAGAAAAGGAATAATCTGTTCTCTGTTGCCATGGTAAGTGAGATAATGGGTAATGAGCTTACACCATAGGAAAAGAGAAATTTAGGTCACTCATTAGAAAAATAAACCTGGTAAGCATAGCAGAGTGCTAGTACAGGCTCTATGCCTGGAGGTCCCTGAGGAGTGTAACCAGATGTCAGAAATAACAGACTACCCTTGAGATCAGCCCTGGAAGTCATCCTTTAACCATCACCATCCCATCTGTGGGTGGGCACCAAGAAGAGAAAAAGCTCCCACTGTAGACAAAATGCTGCCTCAGTCTCACATTTGTGCAATATGAATAACCACTCTGAGAAAGACAGAGGCATGAGAAGATGCATGAACCCCCTTGGCCTGACAAGGGAAGCAGTGGAAGTTTCCTGAAGGCCACAAAGCATCTGCTTCATTTCACAGACTGCAGACAAAACCAGAGACTGAATGCACTCTGCAAACACAGCAAAGGAGCACGGCAGTTTTCCCCTTTACTTTTGGAGCTGTAGCATAAGCAAAATCCCTGAAGGCTATCACTGACTGACCCAAAGAAATGAAGCTGATCCACTTTCCTCATCAAGACTTTGGCAGGAGCCTGTTATATCAAGGTGGCAATATCAGCTCCTGACTGCACAGAGCAGCAGCAGATGGTCCTAGCACTTCTTCAGTGCCAGAAACACAGGCTGTTGCTGACAGAACCCACTAAAGCCAAAGTAGTGGTTCACCAGCAGTCTGCAGGAAAAAAAAGAAAAAAAAACAGGAACTATCCATTGGCCAGGAACTCAGGGCCAGGGAGAGAGGCCAGATGGCTGGGTATCACATGGACATCCAGCAAGGAAGCACAGACAGAATAGGGCAGACAGTACATCAGGGGGAGAAGCAGGAATAAGACAGACATGAAAAACTGGTCAGCCACGTGCAGAATTACAGGAGTTCCAAACTACACTACTCCAATAGGACTGTGCTCAACGAATAGCAACAGTGACCAGACATGCAACATGCAGCAAGGGAGAAAGGGAAACCTCTTGGATCACATGGAGTGAAGTCCAATGGGCAAAGCAAGATGCCAACACTTAAACCTCAGCTTAAACCTTCAGGTCGGCATAACCGGAAGGCAGCAGGGTGCAGAGAAAAGGAGTCACCTTCACCTTACTGTGCCAAGTGGTACAGCTCCACAGTGTGTGCCCTTCCACCAGCAGCAAGCTGCCAGCATGGCAGGCAGTGCTCACACAGGGAAGACATCACACAAGGCAGGGATAGCATTCAGAGATGAAGATTTAATTTTCTGTCAGCAACACTAAGGAATCATCACAGTTACAAATGTTTGCTCGCATCAGGCTCAGAAATGTGTGGAGGAAAGCTAGCAACAGCTTTGCCCCTACACAAAATACTACCAGGTGACAACAGTTGACAACTTGTCTCAGATAACAACTACTTGGCTGTTACCCCATAGCGCACTGCACTGGCACAGGACTTAGCCTAGATCAAACAGATCAGTGTAAGGAGTTGATTTGGATGTGCTAAAGATGCAGCTCTAAGTGCCTGAAGATCAGGCTGCTGTCCAACAAGAACTAAGGCAGCTCATGCTGTCCCCACCTCTTGGGGCTTATCATATTGCAAGGGGTACTTCATTGAAGGTCAAAATAAGACTATTCCTGATTGAGCTACTGCTCCCATCTTTTTTAAACCCCAAGAGGCGTGGACATGGCAAGCTATGAGTAAGACAGGACTACACATTACAACTTTGGTGAGTTCATGTAAGTTTGGTTGTTCGTGTGCTTCACTGGATTTTTGTGACAGCCTCGTGGATGGACTTGGCCACGTAGTCCAGGTTCTTGGTAGTCAGACCACACATGTTGATGCGCCCACTAGCCATCAGGTAGATGTGTTTTTCTTTGATCATGTACTCCACTTGCTTAGCTGGGGAAGCAATTAGACATTAGGTCAGAGCAGTAATTCCAAAGCTTAGAAAAGACCGAAGAACCAGGTTAAGCTGCTTGACTCTTCCACAATAAGCAAAAGACTTTCAGCACCGGACGCTAAAATGCTGATGCTTCAGCCCTGCCTAGCTATAACAGCAGCAATATCAGGTCACCCAAGAAATTCCTGCCTCGACTATTTCAGCCCCTTTCACCCTCAGCACCACCCTTTTCACGCAATCCCCACTTCCCTTCCTAAGGCAGCAATAAAGCTGTACTTTGTACTTACGGTTCAACCCTGTAAAGCTAAACATGCCAATTTGATCTGTGATGTGGTTCCAGGTGCCCGGGGTCCCAAGGGACTCCAGGCGAGACCGGAGCTCTGAGCGCATCAGCAAGACCCGATCTGCCATTGTCTTCACATTGTCCTTCCTGCAGCAGCAAGAAGCAGAGAGTGAGGGCAGGCACCTACCTGGTTTAGAGCCTAACACCCACAGAGAAAACCTCTCCTTTCCCTCTCCACTGGTCCTAAGACACCTACCACTCAGCAAAGAGCTGTGGGGAAGTCAGTGTAGTCGCTACAATGCGTGCTCCCTGGGAGGGAGGGTTGGACCAAGTGGTACGCACAATCTTCTCCATCTGGGAAAGCACACGCTGCACATTGTCTTCATCCTTCCCCACCACAGTCAGGTTCCCCACACGTTCATCTGCACAGAAGCCAAGAGAAATGACTAACTGGTCCTACACATTGCTGCAAAGTAGGGCTCTGCCCTCCTCCAAGCATGCCAGCCCCATATGTCTGGGTACGATGCCTCTGGGCCAGCTTACTACCAGACACTCACTGTAGAGCCCAAAGTTCTTGGAAAACGACTGTGCACAGAAGAGCTCAAAGCCCTCGGAGACAAAGTATCGCACAGCCCAGGCATCCTTGTCCAGGCTGCCAGAGGCAAAACCTTGATATGCAGAGTCGAAGAACGGAAACAGGCACCGTCGCTGTAAGGAGGAACAGTGTTAGAGGGAAATCCCATTTCCACAACCTTCACTTTACCCCCCACCGCTGTCCCCCACTGGAGGGCAAATGACTACTGAGCTTCTAGATGAATACAAAGGAAACATGGCCCAGAAACATCAGACTACAGTCTTTTCACTAGAGGTAGAGGAAGGCTGAGGTGGTCAAGAAAAGGTCAAATGCAAAAGAGAACTGTAGCAGTTCTCTCCCTCCTATTCTAAAGGAAGTAGGGCACAAGATAAGCACTGCCTTATATCTTAGTATTGAGCACCTGCGAAAAGCAGGTGCCACCAGAGAATCTTTCTAGCACAGAAAACCCTCGCTGCAGCTTCTCCTACTGAGTCTGAAGGTAAGAATTTCGAGGCATGAGCAGAACTGGGATGTTTCCATCCTCTGAGCCCTCTATTCTCACAGCACAGACTATGAGTATCCTGGTAGCCTCTCTCTTCAATACCTGCCCTATGGGACACTTCTAGCTCCTGCCACATCTCATGCCATTCCCTGGAATCTGATTTGGATGCAAGTGCTCCAGCTGGCACAAGAGCTTTCTGTCCACTCCACACTGACATAGCCCTGTCAGAAGCTCATACCTTCATAACAGCAGCAATCTGCTTCCATTGGTCTGGAGTAGGGTCTGTACCCGTTGGGTTGTGTGCACAGGCATGAAGGATGAAAATGGAGAACTCTGGGGCTTTCTGGGGAGAGAGCAGGTCTCTGTCATATGCAGTACCATACCAAAGCACCCACGGCAAAGAGAGAGGCTGTGAGCTGCTCTGGACACCAGCAGTCTTTTCAGCAGGGATGCACTTTCAGAGCTCAACCAGCTGCTGACTGCCCTGGACCAAGCTCAGCCCATCCTATCCCATCCCATTACTCACCTCCATGTCATCCAGCAGCCCCTGGAGGTCCAACCCCCTCTTGGCAGCATCCCAGTAGTGGTAGGTTCTAATGTCTTTAAACCCAGCATCCATAAATACAGAGTTGTGGTTCTCTGAGGAAAGAGGTCACATATCATGAGATGCGAGCCCAGCAAAGCCCATTCTGTCCTAATAGCTCCCTAAATAGCACCAAAA